TTTTTCTTGTTTGAAAAATATCATGGAGGTTATCTCAATGAATTCAAATATAACAATTGCCATCAATTCGCAACGTTGAAAAACTTGTCAGATCAGTCATTTCCAATCTCTCCGTCTCAAAATAAAGACATCACTCTGATTCTGCAGGGGTTCAGTTGAGGTTCACGAAATTTCTAGCAATCAATTCTCGTTACGAATATCCTCTTTTTAGGTTTGTCTTGATGATGCTACGGTGAAGTTTGAAATTTGGGACACAGCCGGACAGGAACGGTACCATTCATTGGCTCCAATGTATTACAGAGGTGCACAAGCTGCTATCGTTGTGTACGACATCACTAATCAGGTAAATCTTTGAGATATGTTTTTGGTATAAAATTTTTTGTTGAAATTTGTGCTTTTATCTCCACATCCTTTTTTTAAAATACATTTTATCGATATAAGTTTATTCAGGAGTCATTCCAAAAAGCGAAAAACTGGGTAAAGGAGCTTCAACGGCAAGCGTCCCCAAATATAGTTATGGCTCTTGCGGGTAACAAGGCCGATATGGCCAATAGGGTGCGTTACCTATTTCAACATTGATGAGCAGCCATCGGAAGTGCATCATTTCTTGCTTTCTGTTCTGTATTAAAATGGACTTTAAGCTTCGGCCTTCCTGTCATTAGAGAATTATGGTTGTTTGAAAAATAACTTACAGTTTTCAATGAGAGTCTCAAATTAGTACTGCTTCTAACCGATTAGAGCGCTGGCTCCATTATTAGGTGTTATCGTTTACTAGAGAAGTCTTTTGGTTTCTTATTCATCTATGTGTTAAAAAATCGAAACGGTTACAAATGGTAATATTTACTTACTGCTGTTATAAAAAATAGTTATGCATGTATATTGCAGTTGACTTGGTTTTTTTTGAAAACTTATTTGAGAATGTTTGGTCCTATAAAGTCGTAGGTTATGATTTTTATCACTATGTCTTCTTAGGATATGTGCATAACTTGTTTGAATTTCAGTCACGAGATCGATAGTTTAGCTTGGGTAAAGCATTTGGGGCATAGTCTGTTGTGTAACGCGAAGGGGAAACCTCTGTTTCGGGAAATTATTTCATATATGAAATAGCGACTTCTAAGCCAGCGTTGCAAAGTCTCTTTAGTGTTGTAATTTGATTGTAATCGGTCACTTTTTTATTATCATGCCCTTGTGTTGGAAGGGCTTCATGACCTGTCGCTAGATGACCATGAGTTATGTCCCACAGTGTGGTCCAATTCAAAGACTTATTTCTTGCTTGTTTGATCACGTATTTACCATAGCTGTTGCTGAAGTATCTTTAGGAATATGCGAGAGCATTAGATCATCATTTTCCCAAAATTCTAGATGACTTGAACTCCTTTCATCCTCCCACAAGAGATCTTATAACAGCTTTTTCAGCGAACTGTTGAGTATGAGGAAGCTCAAGCCTACGCAGAAGACAATGCTCTACTTTTTATGGAGACTTCAGCAAAGGTTTGTGCA